CCCCCCCCCCCCCCGATTGCACAGAATACCAACCTTATAAAAACGAGTAAGTAATAGTATTACTTGGGACGTTGCAACATTATGGTACTCACCAATCTGGATTTAAAAGGCCCATTAAAGGTCTAAGTGGCTCCGGTCGTGAATATAGCCCTCAGTAAAGCTTATCCCGCATAATTTTCCTTTGTCAATATCCCATAATAGTCTCAATTAAATTATGTTCACTAAAATGGACCTTTATGTGTAGTGTCTGAACGTCGTCTAGCCACCAACAATAAATAGTGGTGAAGGTTAAAGCAAGTTAAGTAGGGCTGTAGTGTGTTTTGTACACCATGTTATATCTTTATTTAGTGACAGTACAATTAATGAATAGTTGGATCTCTAAGAGCTTTCCGAAATAAAAAGAGCTATAGAAATCTATTGAGCAAGATGGTAAAAACAAGTTTGAAACAAACAAAACTGATTACAGAGCAGAGTTTTTGATCCTCTGGCTGATTTGCCCGAAAGAAAAATCAGAGAATAAAATTCAATTTACGTCAGCGTCTACGAAATTCTCAAACGGGTCAAACCTTGGACCAATTAAGATGATTAAACTCCAATTGACAACGTCAGTTGATGAGAGCGGTTGTTTTACTTAACATTTCCTAAAAAGGAATTACAAAGAGGTTCCTTAATATAGGCGAATCTCGCATGAACTGGAGCGCTAAGTGTTCAGCAATCGGAACAAACATCTGGTAGACTCACAGACTAAGGATTTTATGCTTGAAGCAGAGTTTTGAAGTGGACTATCTTTCATGGAAATAGATAGAGTTACCAATACCACAGGTTATTAGTAATGGAATTAGATTCACACGAAGTAGCGAAATCATAGTAATGGTAAAACGATCGATTATCAATTTAGTTGTCGTGCAAATCGTTTGATTTGCCCCTAAACGCAAATTATCAAAGGAGAAAATTGTCTTTGTATTGAAACCGGCGGTAATTATGAATCGTTCACAACCTACCACCGCGTAATTTATACGGTAATTATCGCCAAATATATGTGAAACTACAGGGTGGGCCAAAAGTCATTGGGCATACGTTGGCCTTAATTATAGCTCCGCTGTATTTTATATTTGAGAGCTGTTGCTTTGCTGATAGCATACTGTACCTTCTGGTTCGAGGATTTTGTCGTCAAAATTTGAAAATTCGAATATTTTAAACCACGTCCATTCATTATTAAAACAGCTATATATTGTTCTCTCTGAACATGCTGGACGCCTAATTTTTTCAGAGACGGTAGATTATTACATGTTGCATCTGATCTGAAAAAATCAGAATCTCGTTAGCAAAATTGATTGGGTGATTATGTGACACCGTGACACGACACCTTAATTGGGCAGCCTCAACGATTTCCATAATGTTTAATGGGGTAGTTACGGGGTCACCTTATCACGTGATTAAGTAAGCCAATCACCTGATCACATGTAATGAAGAAACTCGTTATGCTTCGTATCTCGGTCATCTGAAAAGCTATAACTCTAATTTTTCAGGACAAACGTAATTCGAATGGCCAAACACAATTCAATAAAATTTAGCTCGATCCGACTATCCAAATTATCAAATAAATGCGTAAATGAACCTTATAATTTGTAGAATGCACGAAAGTGTCCAGAAGGGTATTAAGAACTCGAGCACTAAGTGTTCATCAGTGAAAACAAATATGTGGAATACTTATCGACTAAGGATTTCACACTTATGATAGAGAAATGCAGCTATGTTCTATTTCCGCGGCAATCACTGAAACAAATACAGTTGTGACAAGTGATTAGTGTCAATTGTAGGATCCAATCCAAAAGTAGTACCGTGAGCATAGCAATGATATGACGATTGGCGCTGGGCATTATTATTTTGTTGATAGCTTGGCCTGATATAAAAGCCGCGATAAAAATAGAATTATCCCGGCTGTAACATAAGATTTATGGAAAAGTTACAGATATAACTCCAAAAATTAAACGAAAAAGTCGACAAGAAATGAAAAGAAATGAGTTTTTAAACCAGCATTCTCTAAATCAACATTGTACGAGGTCTTCTTTGCGCTTTTAGGCGAAAGATTGATCGCCATGTTTGTGTAATGTGTATTTATCTCAGTATACAAAGATCCAACATAAAATAGCCTGAAATTCCTTTAAAATCTATATTCCATGTACACAACTACATACCATACTAAACCAAATTTTCAAAGTTTAGCCTGTGTCAAAAACAATGCATGAAACACAAGATAAAAATAGAAAAATTACCGATTTCCTGGACAAACGAACATTAACCGCACACCCTAGAAAATAATATTACATTATAGAAACACGGTGAGTCAGGACATATAACCTGCTCAATTAGGTCTGGACTAAAATAAACATTTCCTCTCTCTCTCTCTGACGTCATTGACTGTAGTTTATTGTTTTAGTTGGACAATGGGAATTGACAAACTCTTTGATCAATACTTTAATCGCTTCAATGTTTCTCATCGGATCATCCATGATGACTGATATTGGTGATTTTGTTTATTTTAAGTTAGGGTACACGCACTCTAGTTCGACACGTACTGTAGTCCGACAAAGCTTGAACTGGACTCTGTCGAACTAGAGTGCGCTACCTGGACTCTAGTTCAACACGTACTGGAGTTCTATAAGAGAACTTCGAACAATGGGTGAAAGGGATGTCAATAAAGATGAATTTTGTATATTATCAAGATTTAACTGTGCATTGATTGGTCAATAGATATTAGAAATATAAGGTGGCTCATCGTCCGTGAAATTGTGATAAAAACAAATCCAACGCATCAAATATTTGACGTCAAAACTGATAAGTTTAAATGGGGAATGGGTACGGTTGGTTAGGATCAACATACCTAAACAACATCAAACTGCTCTGAATAAATGGAATTTCTGCTGGACATTCTCCAGCAGAGGTTATTTCCGTTGTGAAGTACCAATATAATCTAGTATCTCCGACTCAGTTCAATGCACTAAATACTCTACTTTTTTAATAATAAGGTTTTAAGACCAGTCCGGATCCTCCTCACTGCATCAACAATAAAAGCGAAATTCACGGGGCTCCACTCAGATCCCTAAACGGTTGAATAGTCACTGCAGTAGTTACTGATTACTGATGCACTTCGCAAGACTGGTTATTGAATATCTAATCATATTATGCAGGTTTACTTTAAATACTTTTAGTGCACTGAACTGGATATATTCGTCAGTTAAACCCGGTTCCTGGAAATATCCCAAATTAGAAAGAGCTGCTGCGGATGAGTGGTAGGTTCTCTAATTTGGCTATACTGATGTCTGATACTACAGTACTACTACTACTATACTCCGTGCGCCATTATTATCAGGCTGGCTGTAGAATGGCTATATTAATGAGTGTTCATTTTGGTGAAGACCTGTATCAAGATCAGAACAACTTTATAATCCTAACAGCAAGTGGTTATCGTCCTGTGTCTGATATTGGTGTAATTAATGGGGAAAGGGTGGGAAATAAGGAATCTTTCCTACGATGGCTTTTGAATCAAGATATGATCTGTGATAGGGGGCAATCTTTACTTGCAGAACTAAAGATTGGGCTAACTCGCCTATGGCGCTTGGCAGGACTTTCCTCTCGCGTTCGTAATCAACCTATTGGAACCACGTCAGCTAAACAGAGGAAAGTGCAAACAGGGACGAAAAAAAGTTGCTTTGTTGAACGACTCATGTCAATAAATTAACGTTCTGTTATACTGTTATACACTGCTACCTAAATTGACAGCAAAGAAAAAATGCATCTAATAAATAAAAATAGGAGACTTAACATTGCTAGATTTGTCTTGTTATATGGGAACATAGTATTATATTATAATAGACTATTATTGATTATGTGCTAATATAACAAACACTTAAATTCGAAACGCTCTATACTAAACTGGTCGACTAAATCGGTTCTTATGAGCAGGTTGTTGATCAGGTTATCACTATGCCGTGCAGCAAATTCTTAGGAAAGTGTTGCACGCCGCAGCCAATAATTTGTCGACCACAGCATAATATTAATGGGCGTACACGATATACGCCGAATCCGGAATCTCGTTTCTGCCAGAGAATTCCGAGATATCGCGGTTTTAAGCGGTATTTTATCGACCAGACTTTCAGGTGTGCTCACTTTATGATATATTTTGCGTTGGGTCGTCCCACGTGACCGCAAATTGAGAACTGCATGGCCTCACGAAGACATGCCACTCACTTCTCATCGATAACGAACTTTCAAGTTTCATTACAGAAAGGCAATTTCATAGTTTAGAGATACGCAATTTCTACAACTTTTTTTCGTTCATAGTGACTTGTCTGCCTCAACCCACTAATGAATATTCAATATATTGATTTTAAATTTATATGGTTCAAAGGTTCCCGATTTAACACCGTTTTGTAACTGTCACCTATGCAATATCATCATTTAGCGAATTTTAAAGTTATGCAACCGTAGTCTGCTTACATCTTTACATTTATTTATTAGACTTGCAGTTGACACGATGATATACTAAGATACTACACGGTGTAATATCGTCACTTAATATAGAGGTGTGGGTGTGCACTATACACTACAGTATATGACGTTATGTAGAGTGATTATTACTGTTACAGTAGAAGGGACCTTATGTACTAAGAGTCCAGACATGAGGCAACTCTGTCACAATTTACAATTTACATTGTACATGAACGGGTGCTGATTCTGTTTTCTGTTAGCTGCTAAATTAGATGTTACTCACAAGAAAAACCTACATTTTGCACTTAAACTTATCGGAAAATGATCATCTCTGAACAGCCCCTTCATATTATATAAATGAGGCTTACTAACAGCACACCAATTATCCCACAACAACTAAGGTACCGCGACAATTGACCCCCCGACAATTGACCCCCCGACAATTGTCGCCCACCCACAACTAAAACCAGCTTCTCAACTCCCTAATTAACTAACAAATGAACCCCCAGGAGAACGCTCACCTGAAAGAGATGACGGAGGAGATGTTGTCGAGTGACCACAACCCCGCACGAGCAACACCACTAGCGCTGGAGATAGACTCTGCTTCTCAGGAGGAGATAGTGAGCGCTTACACTGCCGTTCAGGTGAGCAATATTGGGGCGCTTACACTGCCGTTCAGGTGAGCAATATTGGGGCGCTTACACTGCCGTTCAGGTGAGCAATATTGGGGCGCTTACACTGCCGTTCAGGTGAGCAATATTGGGGCGCTTACACTGCCGTTCAGGTGAGCAATATTGGGGCGCTTACACTGCCGTTCAGGTGAGCAATATTGGGGCGCTTACACTGCCGTTCAGGTGAGCAATATCGGGGCGCTTACACTGCCGTTCAGGTGAGCAATATTGGGGCGCTTACACTGCCGTTCAGGTGAGCAATATTGGAGCGCTTACACTGCCGTTCAGGTAAGCAATATCGGGGCGCTTACACTGCCGTTCAGGTGAGCAATATTGGGGCGCTTACACTGCCGTTCAGGTGAGCAATATTGGGGCGCTTACACTGCCGTTCAGGTGAGCAATATTGGGGCGCTTACACTGCCGTTCAGGTGAGCAATATTGGGGCGCTTACACTGCCGTTCAGGTGAGCAATATCGGGGCGCTTACACTGCCGTTCAGGTGAGCAATATTGGGGCGCTTACACTGCCGTTCAGGTGAGCAATATTGGGGCGCTTACACTGCCGTTCAGGTGAGCAATATCGGGGCGCTTACACTGCCGTTCAGGTGAGCAATATTGGGGCGCTTACACTGCCGTTCAGGTGAGCAATATTGGGGCGCTTACACTGCTGTTCAGGTGAGCAATATTGAGGCGCTTACACTGCCGTTCAGGTGAGCAATATTGGGGCGCTTACACTGCCGTTCAGGTGAGCAATATTGGGGCGCTTACACTGCCGTTCAGGTGAGCAATATTGGGGCGCTTACACTGCCGTTCAGGCGAGAAATATTGGGGCGCTTACACTGCCGTTCAGGTGAGCAATATTGGGGCGCTTACACTGCCGTTCAGGTAAGCAATATCGGGGCGCTTACACTGCCGTTCAGGTGAGCAATATCGGGGCGCTTACACTGCCGTTCAGGTGAGCAATATTGGGGCGCTTACACTGCCGTTCAGGTGAGCAATATTGGGGCGCTTACACTGCCGTTCAGGTGAGCAATATTGGGGCGCTTACACTGCCGTTCAGGTAAGCAATATCGGGGCGCTTACACTGCCGTTCAGGTAAGCAATATCGGGGCGCTTACACTGCCGTTCAGGTGAGCAATATTGGGGCGCTTACACTGCCGTTCAGGTGAGCAATATTGGGGCGCTTACACTGCTGTTCAGGTGAGCAATATTGAGGCGCTTACACTGCCGTTCAGGTGAGCAATATTGGGGCGCTTACACTGCCGTTCAGGTGAGCAATATTGGGGCGCTTACACTGCCGTTCAGGTGAGCAATATTGGGGCGCTTACACTGCCGTTCAGGCGAGAAATATTGGGGCGCTTACACTGCCGTTCAGGTGAGCAATATTGGGGCGCTTACACTGCCGTTCAGGTGAGCAATATTTGGGCGCTTACACTGCCGTTCAGGTGAGCAATATTGGGGCGCTTACACTGACGTTCAGGTGAGAAATATTGGGGCGCTTACACTGCCGTTCAGGCGAGAAATATTGGGGCGCTTACACTGCCGTTCAGGTGAGCAATATTGGGATGCTTACACTGCCGTTCAGGTGAGCAATATTGGGGCGTTTTGATAGGACTCGCGTTTAATTTGAAGTAATACAAACTGGAGGTGTAACCTACAGCTAGTGTAACGTACTATAAGTTTTTAGCAGAACAATGACGCCTTCAAATTACTACTGGCAAGGCAATGGTGAAAATAATATGTGTTTTACAAGAGTAACGAGCTGAGTAGCTCTATGAAAAGATATTGTTCGGCGGATTTCAACACGATATTAACATTAAGGAAACTAAACCCCCTAACATTATTTATAAATTCTTATTTCGTACCAATACTGTCAGTATCAGCGTAAGATTAAGAATGTAGTGACATAACCAAAAGTAAAAAATCCAATTAGGAAATAAGGAATTGAAATATAATTAGTACAGAATAAAATACAGTATCCACGCTCAGAAAGTGTGATGCATAATTTCTACAGCTGAATTAATATTGCCAGGTTTCAAAGTATTTCTTTTAAGAATGCACTCAGCCTTTACGAGAGACTCAGAAATTAAACTTATTACTTGGAAAATCCTGAAATTTCAACCACTCTGTGAAACGAAACTCCCAGTTAACACATACAATATGAGGGAGTGGTTAATTTTAGCTTAAAATCTTTACTCAGGAGACCATGCCGCAAGTATTCCGCTACAGCTTAACCACCTTAAGTTTACTAAGACTCATTCTAGACTGGTAACACCTGGTTTTTCTAATCTATATATGCAAAATCGGGCTACCTCGGCACAGTGTACTGATCAGGACGCTATTTTTTTGAAAAAATCAAGTTTCCTCCTCAAAGTCAAATCTTCACCTTTTTCATCGAAAAAAAAAACTTTGTTGTGCTGAAATTTAGCTACCACTCACCACGTGCATTATATAAAAATACCACGATTACTCGGCTGACATGAGCATTATGAACCTATGGGGTGGAGTCATCACTTATCTACAGCTAATGCTCTGCTGAAACGGACTTGCTCCAAATTTCCCTCTGTAGCTGAACAATCTGCAAAGCGTTATAAATATAACAATACAAAGAGGAGCCCCTGTGTTAAGAGTTATAATATCAATAAAACCGGAGACAAAGCTAGTTGCTACTGTGTGCTGGCAGCTGTAAGTTGGCCCATAATCCTAGGAGTAAAATCAGCTGCGTTAAATTTCACGACAATAATTATAATTTGTGATAGTGTGTAGCAGATGCCAAATCACCAGCAGCCTTCATGCCAACAGACTAAATCATAGTGGTGAAAGCACTGTGTGGGTGGTACAAATATACTCATACAAATATTATGGTACAAATATACTCATCTGAACACAGGTGGTGATGGAAAAGCTGGACGGTCAAAGCAAACTCAAGATTTAACAAATGTCGTGACATGTTTTAAGATTGGCAATTATATTGTGCCAGGAATGAAAATATCAATTTCAATTTCACGACAATGAGTATTTGTTAGTTTATTTAACTTGCAACAGCTGCTTTATAAGCTTGGATGTTGGGCTACTGGCTGCTGGCCATGCTGACCTCACAACGTTCACGTACTTTAAGTTTACCGCTGCACTGGCAGGCCCCCATGCAGTGGTTATTATTAATATTAAAGATAATATATTGATTAAAATAAGTTCATCAGAAGATGATTGGTGACGGAAAAACGTTTTAACTGTCTCGTGACATGTTTTGAAGATGGTTATGTCATCTTGGTTGGGCAAGTCAAGCAGAAGCAGATTTTTGTTGTGCAAGATGATGGAAATTGATGGATTTCTTGACACCAAAGTTTCTTCAGAATATTATTATACTTACTTATGTCAAGTTAATAGATTATTCAGCGGCTCACTTTGCGTTCATTCGCCCTATAAAAGCATTAAGATCATATGGGTAGGCTTTATAAAATATCGTTCTGGCTAGAAACCGACCGGTCTGGGGGTTTGGCTACCGGACCGGGTCCCGGGAACGTATTTACAGTCCGACTAACTGTATCCATACCCTATCTCAAATCTCAACAAATTTTCTGCTCTGCGAGCAACGCTCGCTGATTTATCTGATGTATGAACACAGCCAGAAACAACTTGGAATAAAATCAAAACGTCCATTCCAAGAATTTACTGCGCCCTGCGTAACGCAAATAAAGAGATTATTCTAGAAATAAAACCAAAAACCCAGCTCTCACAAGTTCGTGGCGTCTATATAACCGAGGATAATGTCCATCGGTTTTCAAACGGCATAATGGCCTTTGTTTCAATCCTTGGTATTAAGGGCGTTAGCAACGGGTATTGCCACAAGTAGGAACCCTCTGCTTGCAACGCTCATACATAGCATTGTTTTGTCATTGGTGTGGGTACCTGCTTTGACTCCTTTCTTTATGTTATAAAAGAAATCTCACATATATCTAGGTTTTAACATTCAATGACAGATTACAAGTTACCAAGAATTCACTGTTCACTTAGAGCACTGACTGGATGCCCTTTATTAAGGATTTAGCCGGATCGGAACCGGGTGCTTACAAGAGGAAATTTGAGGCTGCTGGAAATTACTGGAAAATAGAACTAAATCCTTATTTTAATTTATTGGACTTTTTCAATTATAATACTAAAAGCCACGTGGACACAATAAGACAGTGTTTACAGTCTGACTGACTGTGTTCATGCCCTACTTCAAATTTTAACCAATTTTCAACCAAATAAAAGTTAGAATTCTGATATGCATTTCAGAATTTTAGAAGAACTTTAAAAGACATTTTCTGTTGAAAATATTGTTCCTAGCCGAAATTATTGCCGGTCAAACTCAAAGTTCATCACAAACTCAAAGGTCGTCACAAGCGATTTTCAATCGCACGCCCTGAAAATCGAGTCTAAAAATCTATCTTCTCCTACATTTTTTGAACAATCAACTTGAAACTTTCAGGATATGTTTGAAGGACCATTTAGGAGATTCCTTTTTATCAGAATTTTAAGATATGCCTTAGAAAATTTTTTATTCGATTTTGAAAATCTTGGACCTGAAAAATCGTCTAAAAACGAGGTCCAAACTTTAAAACTTTCTAAGGCCAATCTTAAAATTCTGACAGAACGGAATCTCCTAAATGATCCTTCAAACATATCCTGAAAGTTTCAAGTTGATTGCTCAAAAAATGTAGGAGAAGATAGATAAATTTTAGACTCGATTTTCAGGGCGTGCGATTGAAAATCGCTCGCGCAATACAATTAAGCATAAGCGCTGACCTTTGACCGGCAATAATTTCGGCTAGGAACAATATTTTTCCATGGGACAAAAAATAGCTGATAGATATCACTCCCCTCTATCAGAAACGACTATAAAGTCAATTTCGAGAGAATTTTCATAAAGACCCCACCTTGCCCCCTTAAATCAAACTACACACTTGCTCTTACTCATAGTAGAGGCTCTTACGGGCATTGTCTGCTCGATACGTTAGGGACCCCAGGTACACCTTACTAGACGTATTTTTGACCGTAGAATCGATTGAAAGTGGTTTTAAGATGATTGGACTGATTGTTCTGGGGTAAAATCGCAAAAAACCGATTTTTGGGCCAAAAATAGGCCAAAAAACCATGTTTTTTGATATTTTGAGCAAGTTAATTTTGTTGGCATGTCGGCAAAACTTGCATAAAGATAGCTAAAAGACAGCCGCACAAGATTGTATAAAAATAAAACAAATCCCTCTATTTGTTCTGAGGTAAAAATCCAAAAAAGTGGTAAAAATTTTGACTTTTTTGCTTGAAGTTTGAATAATTTTTTGCAGTTGTATTAAATCAACCCAAAAATAGTCACATCGTGTTTGCCTAAATTTTTCCTTTCCGAGAAGTACCCACATCATATACTTTATCGAAGTTTGAATATTTTCACTCCGCAAGCGTTTTTGCCAAATTTTCGACGCGCACTACGCGCAAAAGCATTTAGTTGTTATCAATTGGCACCCGCGCGTTCATCATAAATTTCAAACAGCTATAACTCAGCGAGATTATGTCCGTTCTAGCTCATATTTTCACACTAAATAGAAAATAATGTGATCTTATTGCTGACAAAATATGAATATAATTACTCTATTTGCCTTAGAGTAATAGACTGTCAAAGTTTAAAACGCGCATTGGTATAGCACGTGACTAATAAGGCCAAATTTATACTTCTTAACATATTATCGATCCTTAGACATCATACTATTGTGTCCAATTAGCGGTTAGGTCTCTAAACTCGTAGCAGAAAACACGTCTTTTTGCCCGTAAGAGCCTCTACTATCAAGAATAGTGCTGTAAAAATGAACAAAGAAAGCATGCTCCTCAAACCCGAGCCATAAAAGCTGGAGGAAGGTTGTAATACATATTATTAACTCTCTCCTAATACTCTACGTAGCTTAGGTACGGGCTGCGAGGCAAAGTTATGCTAAAATATCTAGCTTCATTCTGCTTTTATGGCTCAGGTTGGCGAGCAAGCAATCTTTGTTCATTTCCACTGCACCATTTGCATTGTGTAGTAAGAGTAAGTGTGTAGTCTAAGTTACACACTTTTTATTGCTGGAAAGCTCATACTCGAATAAGTACATTGCATGGTTTTAAACATATTGTGCTCGGAATAGTTTGAAGTCTTTATTTACAAAAAATCATATAGCAGTTTAGTAAGAATCAGGACTCAGTAAAATTATAAATGGTTGGCATGAAATATATTTCAGGAGCAGGGCCATCGATAACAAATTATATAAAAAAAGAAAAAATTAAAATTGTAAAGACGCAAACTAAATGGGATTAAAGACATATATAACCAAGAAAGACATTTAAACATATACACCAAATATTATGTCCTGCCCATGACTTGACAGGACGTTCAGTGATCACCACTGCTCTACGCCAGTCAGAAACCGGTACAGAGCCGCTCTTCCCGCCTACTAACTAGCTACTAGCTTGCTGCTAAATCGCAGCTCACTTAAAGATAAGCAATCCAAATTTCAAACCGGCTGCCACCCAGCTAGTGCTACTTAAAAACGGCCACTAACCGGCCACTAACCGGCTACTGGCCGGTTCCTGGACAGCTTCAAAGCAGGGTCGATTTTAAAACTCATTCTCTAAACCGATGCTATGTAAAGTAAAAGAATAAGCCCAAGAAGAAACGAACGACAAATCATATGATGGTATAATTACTCAGGCTCTTTTGATGATATTTATATCATTGAAAACCCCGAGTAATTATACCATCAATAATTGTATTCTGTCATTTCTTTCCGTAGAAATTAAAAGGCACAAATCATTAAGGATGATTCGGCATTTAAATGCACTTTTTATTACGAGGGCACGCAATTTCAATGCCTAATTCAACTGAATAGTAGAATATGTAATACGGCACTATAGAATTGTAATAAAGCCATCCTTATTACAGTCCTCATAACCTTATTCACGTATATTTCTTCGAATTTAAAGCGGCCTCTTGAAAATGTTTTAAAAGCCAGTTATTAATTCAGTATCGGCTCAAAGATTTTAGATCTCCGAATTCCACCACATTCAGCCAGCTGATTTAATGTTAGCTCTCGTGTGAGAGAAGGAGAAGAGAAATAGACGCATACACAATGCACAATACACATGGACAGTGACAATTGTGTATACTGTATAGGCTCAAAGCTTATCTGTGACCTAAAAAGGCAGCTCATACGTTTTACATTTCCTAAACTTGACTATTGCAATGAACTTTATTAGTATGGTTTACCTGATTTTCTTCCAAACTTCAATAAGTATAAAACTCCTGTACATTCACTTCTTATTTGATGGAAAAGCCATAAAAATGGGATGGTGTCACTTCTTTTCTTTAAAAAAAGGCCCACTTTCTTCCAATAAGACAAAGAATAAAGGTCGATCGGCGTCTACCTGAGTGTCGTGATCAAAGTAGACCTCGTATATGCTTCAGATAAATCTGCTGCAGTGCATACTACAGTCACAACTCACAGATATGCAAAAAAAGCACCACTAACTTTTTGAATCTTCCTCAGAGTTTTGTTGGCACTTTTATACCGAAACAACTGCAGTCCCCTAACTTTTACCTTTTTCTTGATTAAGCGGTTAGTAAATTACAAACAAAACACGCACATTGCTATCAGGATTATTAGATGACAAAGTCAAACTGAACAATAGATTTCTTGCGCGGCGAAAAAGCATTGTAAGGAAAATATTAATACACACAAAATCAAAATATTTTTGCAATTATGCCCAATACAAATAGTCATGGAAATGAGAAATGCATTGATGCTTTTGTCAAGTGTGAGGTTGGGTCGTCATTAATATAATATAAGGTAAGTTGCGGTAGATGTTGGCGTGGTTTATACCAAATATCAAGTAAGATAGGTTCGAAAAAAAGTAAAATGAACCAAATAAAACGTAACTGCTGATATTCTGATATTATTAAAAGCAACTATAACAGGGACGGTAAAATGATTTATTGTTTAAACAGAAACCAATACCTACGTCAAACACAATTAAACGTACTAAACTGCGGAGTCTAGTATAATTAAAGTAGAATCCTGATTCAGGATGTTACTGAAGATAGTAATGAAAATGTTTTAACACCTCAGTACTGTGTATTACTACAGCTCAACCTGCTCAGTCTGACTAATTGGGAATTTAAACTCTTGATAAAGTAGAATCCTAATTGACTTGTCATGTGAGGGAATGAATCTAAAATAATGAGATGATGATTGAAGAAATAAGTAAGAACCGCCAAAATACGGGTACTTGGAGCTGATGATATAAACATAAATAAACAAACTCACTCTATCTAGCTTTAATATTACAAAACCGAGTTTTAGAAGCCGAGAAAAGAGATCTGTCACGTGATAACTGCACGTGTGCTAGAGGTTAAGGATGGGAATGATATAATTACGTTATAGCAATTCCGCAAATTTGGTGGTTCAATAAAATATAATCGTCAATATAATGTCATTAAAGAATCCGATTTAAATTCAAAGAAATATACGTCGTAAGGTTATGAGGATCGCAATAAGGATAGCCTTATTACAATTCTATAGTGCCGTATTACATATTCTACTATTCAGTTGAATTAGGCATTGAAATTGCGTGCCCTCGTAATAAAAAGTGCATTTAAATGCCGAATCATCCTTAATGATTTGTGCCTTTTAATTTCTACGGAAAGAAATTACAGAATACAATTATTGCCACAAATTTAATGGTTATCGGTACAGATGGTTGTTTTAGAAACCGTCGGTTTACAGGAATAGGCAAACAACAGCATACTTGTGCACGTATTAACTGAGTACTGACGGAGGACGAGAATCAGAAAGTTGGCAAGATGCCGAATGCTCTGGGTCTAAACACTTTTTAAACCATTTTAATAAAATCTTGGTAAAACCCGGGTATTTGCTGAGGAAAGTTTCTGTTTCTTTGCCTTGAAACTTTAAAGCAAGACTCGTGCTGCACCTGGTAGTCCCGGCCGTAACCTTGTGCCAGGCTGTGCCTGCTGACTAAGTCTGCGTTAAAGATGAAGTCTTTGGAAGTTTTATCAAACAAAAGTTTAAACTAGAAAAATAACACGATATTATAATATAACGTCATGTGGAAAGTAGATTTTAGGAGATTGATGTCGAAGTTAATTTCATATTTATGCCAAACCCATTTGCAAATTAAAGAATGGGAATTGGGAACTGTACAAATATTAGAATACTTGAAAGTTTAAAGTGCCCAAGGAAGCTGCAAAGTTTATCAAGTTAATATAAAGTTTGTTAAGTTCATTTAAATGAAACGAATTCCGCACTTCAAAACACCTGCTACCAGACTTCCAGAATGTGAACCAACTAAAATCCGGACGTATTTACCAGTTAACGTTGCTATTTTAATTGACTAAATAGGTGAATTTAAAATTTTAGTTTTAACGTAAGAACTCATAAATCTGCAAACTCTAATTTGTGGAAAATTATCGATTTAAATTTAGTTAACTGTCAGACGATGAATTGCACTTTAGCTAACAGAATTCACTTTCAGAAAGATTACGGAGAACTCAGGTCGTACGTTGATAAACTGCTGATGAACATTATAGCTGAGGCCCCCCACCTGCTCTGTGTTGATAACTCCTCTTGAGAAGATAAGAGTGTGCAAACTGTAGCTCGACTCTCATCGAGTCGAACACAAGATGTTTTACTGACTTTTCTTAGATACGGAGCTGTGATTATTGTGTCTTTTCGTTTCTACTGAAGGGAATAACCGAGGACTGAAGGGAATAACCGAGGACTGTTGTTAGGAGATTCCAGCCTCGATACCAATGCTTGGTGCAACGTTTATGTTCATTGTCGCTGAAATATTTTTTATCAAGGCCAAGTTTTTAATTTAAAGTTACTGATTGATTCAATTTAATTCACCGGTCAAGTTTTGATTACGGGATTAGCAACTGATATCTTTACAGAATTACGACCAGAAGTTGAATCAATTTATTTTATCGAGGGATGTTAAACTTTAGAGCTTTATCTAATTTATTTATAATAAACTCCACAGTTTTACGTTATCATTTCTTGGATATAAACGAGCCCGATTATCATTTATGTAAGCCCGGTTTGTTTTATTAAACTATCCGAAATGTAAGATTACAAGATGAATGCACGTTAAATATAATTTTGTGGATTTAATTTATTGAAGGGATAATCCATACTCATAGATAACGCCCACCTTAGGTATAACTGCACAAGACCACATCAAATATAAGTTTGAACTTCCTCCTTCTGCGATTTGACTGAAATTGCAGGCGATTTCAAATTATGTCTAGAGGAAAATTAATTAATTATAAATTCAAATGCAAAAATATATTAATATCCGGTTTACAATTGGACTTTGACCCTTTAATTCCCGATGTTACCTCCTTCCAGATGAGGCTAATATGAGTTATGGACGAACCTTACGAAGTAGCACATAGCTATAGATTGTTTTGCCACGTTGTGTTTATGTCAGTGTACAGATTTTTGTTAAATTTAAATTTTTGAAAATGACCCCGTTTCACTGCTTATAATCCCCCTGGAATACGGACAACTTTCCCTGATTTATTGATTTTTATCAGCATGATTTTTAATTAAATTCTTTCCGGGCTGTTATCGATCTGATACTAAAGTTTTAGCTGTCTGTGTTCGGACCCCAAGGTGTCCCACACGGTACGTCTCGATTGCTTCCAGAGATAAGAATCGAGTCTGTCCACTCAGTTGTCACTTCTCCAGATTCCTCAGACATTTGTTAACCACGTGTATTTCTCAGCAATTCGCAACCTTGGAAACCTCAAACCCGGCACCACCACCGAATCACACCGTTATTATTGCTCAGGGCAACATTGACACTTAATCCACATTTACTCAGTTCTCATGACCCCCTCTCTCTCTCTCTCTCTCTCTCTCTCTCTCTCTCTCTCTCTCTCTCTCTCTCTCTCTCTCTCTCTCTCTCGCAAAGTTATCATCACTCTTTAGTAATAACTTTGCGGAGAAGCGTGTAAAGAGTCTTTACACGCTTCTCCGCAAAGTTATTACAATATTTAATGTTTAACGAGATTAAATGTGTCTGAGCGGAATATATATGTAAGGCATATGTTGTCCAAGAGATGGGTATGTATGGAAATTAATAGAGTCACGTCACGCCTATATGCATGGGTTAGATCCTCATGGTCTGCAGTCCTTATCAGGTCCGGTCCTGGAACCATACTTTAGGATACTCCAGTCGGTACTTCCTCACCACTATTTCGGTAGTCCACGTTTTTCCGCCTCGCACCCTTTTCCGTTGATGACACAGTCAGGTCAATCATGCCGATTGCAAATCGTTTATCAGTTTAACGCCGATCATTGTTTCACCGTGAATTATATGATTATGACACCGTTATATAATTATATTTATCTTATCAATTGGGGCCAACTCGTCAATTACAAAAAATTGTGAAATCTCTGATTTTCTCATCTCTCCTCATCGGAGGTGTCAACAGACCGGTCATGTTCACCCTCCAAGAGTACCATGGTTACTCAGTATTCTCCCCCCTCCTCCACTTAGTAGTGACTCGTGCGTCATTTTTGTGTTGGTTGGTCCTTGGACGAGATCCGTTTTGCGTGTCAGTCTCCGGTTTCAACTATTATCTTCACTATAATTACTAATTTGCTTATGAGTATCGGTTCGTGATATACGATCACGGTTTTGCGTGATAGTGTAGTTGAACTTAATCAAGGTTTAGCTGGTTGCTTTGTGTTCGTTATATTCTTGATGTGGTTGAATATTTCTTTGAATTTAAGATTTATTTCTAAGTTTTGCTGTTTTTGTTTTCTTTATTTACCCGCGTGTCTATACTTACTCCTTTTCTGATGGATTATTTCCGAAAAATGGCGCCTCTTGGACCTTGGTTAAATATAATTGGTTTATTAACTTAAAGATAAAAGTACCGAAACTCGAAAGTATAATGTTTTTAGAGGTTAATTTACTGAAAAGTTCGACAATAAAAACTAAACGATATATCCCAAAATATGGTGGATGTTAACTATGTGCCTTTTTCATTTTGTTGGTATTGGATAATTGTGGAACACAACAAGAAAATTGATAATAATCTTGTGCGAGGGTAGGGACCCAGATGTCGTTTCTAACCCAAATAAACTTTAAGGAGGCTTCTCATCAGTAGCCGCACCTCCTTACTCGGTATTGGATAACATTATTAATGTTATTATCCAATAGCAGTAAATAATTATTAATTTGCATGTCGCTTGTCTTATTTAAAACTATAAGACGAAAGAAGTGTGTATCACTGATCAACAGAAAAATATTGAAAATATTTTTGATCAATGATTTTTCATTTTAAAACAATCATATTCGATCATATAATCCATCGCAAACAACTCATACTAGTAGCAGGCTTACTTGAACGAGTTGAACGACCACTACAAAAACTTACCATACTGGCCAGTAAATTTTTCGCCAGGCCATCTTAAACAATTAATAAAATTGCGCGGGAGCACGAGATTTCGGTGAAACCAATCGGTAGATTGTATGGTATTGGTCAGTGCTGGGTGCCATGCGACCATGCAGCGGCCCGGTTGGACTAATTGGTTCATTGCCAGAGTTCAACTCATTGGATTCTCCTCGTAAACGCTACAATTCGGCCAGAGGTTCAATATATTGCATCATTAATCACGATCTCGGGGCACCAGTCTTTGCCGATGTTCTCTAAAATCTTGGCTTCAAATTTCTGCGGAAGGTGGAATGTGATCCGTTTAAACTGCTTATCTCAGCCTCTGATAGTGATAGTGATGATTGAAGGTCGACAGCTCCATCAAACTAAGGTTTAAAGTAGGTTAATTCTTTACCTATTTATTTAATGAGCTATTTCAAGTCACAAATAGCAGTTTCTTATCTCGTGACAGTTCTGGGGTTAACAAAGTGTTTGTACTTACCGGCCCAAGTGGTCCCGGATGAAATATAAACCGGGACCATATTAAAAATCATATGCTCGGACTCGGTTGTACTGGTAAGTTGAGGTAAAATTATGATTCCTATTTTATAGTCGTGATTTATACTTGTAGTTTTTTAAGTACAGTAAAACCCGATTTACCGCAGTAAATAAATACAGAGTTAAGCCTTAGGAGAAGAAAAAGCCGCAATTAATCGGGGTCCACAGAAAGTCGGGGTTACTTGCTTAAAATGGCCAGCAAATCGAGTTTGACTGCAGGTAGAACAACACTGCACAATCGTCTGCGTAGTTATCGTTAGTCAGCAGGGATACCACTGCCCGTGTACTTCCTGTTCCAGTCTTGTTCCAACGTTAGATCAACCTTTGTAGTTCCGACGCGCACGTGACACGCGCCAGAGCACGTGACACGCGCCGCACGTGTAAACTACCCCACGTGACCCTGGAAACGACCGTAAAACGAGGTCACGTGGCCCCAACAACAGGATCACGTGCGCGTGTTGCTTGGGATTAGTGTGGGAAAGTGGCAGCCCTAGTGGCGGCAGCTCCCTCTACCCAGCTGGATGGTTGACTCTCAGACTTTCCTGCTAATAATTGGGTACATTTATTATATATGAAGTATATATATGCGTTATAATTCAGTGTGCAGGAACAAGCTGCTCCTTGAAGTGCTGTGGTACGTGTTTCAGTATTGTCTCCTCATCTCCTGTTAGTCCTTCTGTAAGTGTTATACGACTAGTATAGCCAAACTTAACTGTTTTGTAGTCAGTGTTATCTGTTTTACAGTTTGTAGTCTGAGTAACAGCTTTGCAGTCAAAATGATCTGCTTTGAGCGTCTGTTTTTGCTGTTGTCACAGTCTCATAGCGTGGCAGCCTCACTGGATAGTTTAGTCACGTGATAGGTAGGATTTTGTTTTCGTAATAACGATTGTAATAACGATTGTCAGGTTTCGTTTGCTGGTCTCTAACCTTTTAACTGCATTAACTTATTAAGTCTACAGATCTGACGAATTCTACGTTTCTTGCAACACTACTTGCCCATCAATTTGGGTTTCGTTTATAACTCGTTGTAACTTAACCGTAAAATTGGATCGAGCATATCATTGTTTGTTTTACAAATGTGCTGGGTTACTGATTTTTGATACTTAATACTTATGGTATCAGCAAATTAAAATGATCTGCAACTTGGGTAACTTGCTGTCTTTAATTTGATATAACTACATCAACATCAACAATGTCGTCACCAAATTTAAAACCATTGCTACAGTATCCTTATCACGAGATGCCGTCACCACACTTCGATTTTGAACTAGTGATACAATATTCAACTCACGAGACGTCCACATTCACGGCACGCCGAGCAGCACTGCACAAAATATAATATAGAGAAACCTGTACGTGCACAATGTGTTTAGTCACGGTGAAGTAAGCGGTTCTAGTTAAAGCTTAACAAACAGTTTAGTAGTTGTGTAACCGCATACTCTTTATAATTAACGGCTCAAGGATTACAAAGGATTACAAATAAGCAGTTTTAATTGGATTTTGCTTCATAAATCTTATTAGGGTACCAAACTGTGGAATTTGTTGAATCGACGCGATATTCTCTGAAATCTTGCTGTCTTTTCCAGGAGGAAAATACAGTTTCGCTATGTGACTCCCAAACTGTATACATTTTTCTCACTTTCTCGGAACACTTTATTCTTTTAAGATAAACTAGGGCATCTTCTGATTTTCTTTATTATCTTGTCCAACATTGCAGATGAGATTTAAAGAAATCTTGACTGTGACAGGAGTATTTGATCATAAAATAAAGCCGGGCACATATATGGCTTGGTAAAGGTTGCACCTTCACAGAACATATTTTTCTATTAATATGAAATTCTGATTGCTTCTTGTTTGACTCAATAAATATGCTGTAATGATTTCCAGATACGTTACGACATCCAACGTCATATCGTGACGTAAAACATAGAAATTGGGCTTTTAAAAGTCTCTTTAATCATCAAGCAAATGTTGTTTATAGATCTGAAATACTGGATATAGTGGTGGGGAATGAAACCATATTTTTCTCAGTATTGAATCTATCGCTCTAGTACGTGTTTTGAACGTAGTATACCACTCATCAACCCGCTAATATGAACTGCATGATTATCTTCACGACACCGTTTCGTTTAACTAGCCACCTTGTATCAAACTTCTAGAACATACTATGTTACAAAATAAGACTACCCCGTTACTTGCTATCGCTAGTAACACTGAAACTACAGCAGTGACTCTACAATCTACATGCAACTGCTCTTCCGATTGGAGAGTCTATTAAAAGTAATAGTACATATTGTAGCACTAAATAATAATAATCGTTAAAACTCGGCCCTTTTCCCATGACCGGTTCCTCTTCGCCAACGTCCAATCAGACCCTTCCACTTGTCTTTCTCGACCAATCAGAAACGAGGAAGATGTCCACGTGTGACACGAGAATATGATTTTTGCGTAGGAGTAGTACTTGTCGATCGGCCGCGCTGCGGGAACATTAGTTACAGCTATCTTCGGATCATATGCATG